TAAGGCGACAAGGTAGAGTCACTTGCTTTGTCACCAAGACTGGAGTACTGGCATCATCATAGCTCATTGCAGCCTCAAACTCCTGGGCTTAAGGAATCCTCCTGCCTCAGCCTCCTAAGTAGTTGGAAGTACAGATGTGTACCACAGTGCCTAGCCAGTTTTTCTTATATTTTTGTCGAGACAAGTGTCTTGCTATATTGCCCAGGCTGGTCTTGAACTCCTGGCCTCAAGTGATCCTCCCACCCCTGCCTCCCAAAGTACTGGGATTACAGGCCTGCCCCAGTATACCATGCTTTGGTTCTAAGTTATAGATGCTTGATTTTAATGGCTGTCAGAGCTAGGAGATTGAATCACTTCACAAAGAGATTTCTGAATGGGAATACTTTATTGGTTGCATATAAAGATAGAAGTTGCACATAAGGATATTCTCATTACTCACAGTGCTTATTTTTCCCATGAAGACATCACCTCCTCAAAGAATCCTTTTCTTACTTTGCCCGCTCTGCTCTCACTCTCTCATGTGTGTGCTGGTACACTTAACTCCATCATGCTGTACATAATGTGCTCCAGTATCTAACTCCCTTGGTATACCCTGGACTCTTTAAGGGCAGTGGCCAAACCTTATTCAACTGATGTATGCATTCTTGACCTAGGAAAAATGGAAGTGGATTCTCTTAGTGAAGGGAAAGAAAGCCCACTGAATCTGCCTGAGCTTTATTAATTCTCAAAGGTTGCAACATCTGTCTCACTGTCTATTTTCCCTCCCTTGTCACCCCAGTTAGAGTACAGTAGCATCATCATGGCTCACTGCAGCCTTAACCTGGGCTCCAGCAATCCTCCTGCCTTAACCCTCCGAATAACTTTGACTATAGGCACCCACCACAATACCCAGCTAATTTTATTTATTTATTTTTTTAAATAGAGACAGAGTCTTGCTCTTGCTCAGGCTGATCTCGAACTCCTGAGTTCAAGAGATCTGTCTGCCTCCATCTCCCAGAGGGCTAGGATTACAAGCATGAGCCACCGAGCCTGGCTGAAGCTGTGTTTATTATATGAAGGAATTTCAACTTCTTTTTATTTTTTTTAACTTTTGAAACAGAGTCTCACTGTGTCACCCTCGGTAAAGTGCCACGGCATCACAGCTCACAGCAACCTCCAACTCTTGGGCTTAAGGGATTCTCTTGCCTCAGCCTCCCAAGTAGCTGGGACTACAGGTACTGGCCACAACGCCCAGCTATTTTTTTTGTTGCAGTTGTCATCGTTGTTTTAGCTGGCCCAAGCCGGGTTCAAACCTGCCAGCCTTGGTGTATGTGGCCAGCGCCCTGCCCACTGAGTTATGGGCACCACCAGGAATTTCAGCTTCTTGATAGAGTCATCTGAAATCAAATTTAATCTTCTGCTTTGCCCATTAGACATTATTTAGGCAGCAGAAAATAAATTCAAGAGAGATTGGAGTGTTTTCTTTATATTACAATGTGAAGACCTAATGAACAGGCAAAATATCCTAATGCATTTTGAGGACTAAAAGACATATAACTTAACCAGCAGTCTCCTTTTTTTTTTTTAATCATAGCTGTGCACATTAATGCAGTCATGGGGTACAGTGTGCTGGTTCTATATACAATCTGAAATATTTTCATCAAACTGGTTAACATAGCCTTCATGTCATTTCAGCAGTCTCCTTGATGTTATAAAGAACATAGACTGGTCACTGCTCCTTGTTGAGTTACCTACTGTGCATGCTTCTTCCTCACTGAGAAGGCAGAAGCTGCCTTCCTTATTATATTAGGGATGATAATGAATTCTGCTGTTTTCCTCCTGATCTGAAAACATAGAAAGTAATGGAAGTGTAGCCTCAGGTCTCCAGTTAAAATTGGTACCCGAGATATTCTATCCATTGTATTTTGAAGTTCTTGCCTTCCAAAATGGTCCTTTAGGACTTTCTCATTGAAGAATGTGGTTATCTTCATGCTAAAGAAATATTCAAGAGCATTTGTTCTGCTTTATATTGTTTAAGCATTTGCTGAGTTTAGGAATAAAGCCTACTTATGCCTAAGAGGAGAGAATTACAATTTAGCAAAATTTATACTGTGTTTAGAAAAGAGGATAGATTTTAAAGAAACAGCATAGAGAGAGCTCCAGATATTAAGCTTACCCAGACGGCTATTTTGCTTGCCTTATTTTAATTGTGGGTTTCCCTATCTAGCTACAGAGTCTCTTCAAAAGATGTTTCAGGTTTATTCTCTGGGAACCCTGGGCCCTTCATTGAGAATTGTCCTGGCAAAAACCCACACATTGACCTGTAGGAAATCTATGTGGTGTTTAGAGAGAGCAGAAGGCTCCATGGTGACCCCTTGCACAACTGACTCCAGCATGGCCAAGTCATTTTGCCTCCATGGACCTGTGCCCTCACCTCAAAAATGGGATTTCTTCCTAATGAGGAAGGCTTGTGAATTAAGAACTGAATCACCAGGAATGCTGAAAAGCACTTAAATGATATGTATTGTCTTCACGCTGTTACTCCTCAAGGCTGGCTAGGTTAGCATTGTTTTCAAGGTTAGGATCCAAATACCAACTTAACCTATTCTCCAGCTGTTGTTTATTCTCCAGTTTCCTGGAATAATCAGGCACTAGGTCCTAAAATAATGGAGTTGTGCTGCTGTACAGTTTTGGTGATAATAATTAAGTACACTACTGATTTAGCCTCAGTTTATTGAAGATGTAGGTGGAGACCAAGGCATGTCATAGCCCTCAGAAGCCATGGCCTTTAAATATTTTATTTCCCACTAGCTCATCTCTCCCCAACCCCGTCTTATTGACTAAAACCTTTTTACAACATCCTACCAAAGAGTTGTTCAGTTTCTCAGCTCTCAAGTCTATTTCATCTTTCTCTATCTTTAATTTTTTTTAAATTAGATAGTTCATACATAAAGAATAAAATCAGGGCTCTGCGCCTGTGGCTCAAGTGGCTAAGGCTCCAGCCACATACACCTAAGGTTGGCGGGTTCGAATCCAGCCCGGGCCTGCCAAACAACAATGACGGCTGCAACCAAAAAATAGCTGGGTGTTGTGG